GACTGAAACATACCAACGCAGGATCCGCCTGAAATCCATCTTAACTTGGGGAATCCTCTACGTGTGTCGTGTTGAACACAGAGGCACACCGTTGACTTGGAGGCAACACGTTTATTTTGACTCCAGTTGTAGTGTTGAACACGGAGGCACACACTTGACTTGGAGGCAACACGTTTATTACACAGCCCAACGGGGCTAACCACATAAACGTACACACTCTAGAACCTTACAGAGTAACGACTCTACTTTAACCGGGTACCTACAAAACCGGGTCAGTCAGTAACAGCCTGACTGAGCCACGATGCCGAGCGGACACCGAAGATTGGAGAGGCGTGGCGCCGAGGGTTGATTCCAGAGAACAGTCAAGAATGCTCTCGAAACTGCCCCTTTATGCTCCTGGGCGTGGCCTCGCTCCGCCTTCGGCCACTTCGAGACCTTTCCCGAAGGATCTCGACCGAGCATCACGTGTCCCTCAAGCCCCCCTCGGGCCCCCTTCACTACCCGGTCACGTGCCATCTCGGGTTCACCCAGACTACCATGTCCTGACTTGCCCTCTCTCAGGCCGTCATCAGGACTATGTCCCCTAGGGCCCGTTCGCACGCCGTACTCACTCTGGCCCCAGGGAGAGGTTCCAGACGCACAGCAGCACTCTCATGACAGTGCCTGGCGCTAACACATTAGTGACACCCTTAACGTCACTACACGCGTATAAAGTGCATGACATTCTTCTTCTTCTCCGTGTCGTAAGAGACTGGTGGTAGGGTGGTGGGGGAGTTCCGCTGCTTCATTGGGCACTAACCCTACCTCACTGGATGTGCCGTGGTCCTCACCGTGTTTGCTTCTTGGCACTGCGATGGGCTGGCAACACGATGCCGTCGAGCCCAGAGGCCCTAGCCGCTCGATTAGAGTAACTTTGCTCGGATCTCTGCGGTGGGGGGGGGGAGGGAAATGCCAAATATATGCCACATCTCTTATTTTTTTTGTTTACACATCTCCCAGACATCGGCGACAAGACGCAAAAGCGAATTGTACTCTGGGACACATTTACCCATATCTCTCTGTCTCTGCTTGCCACGTGGCTACACGTTTCCGGTTATTAAGAAGTCGAACGGCGGTTTACAAAAAAAAAAGGTTGCCCACATTCAGATCTGCAATGAGATTCGTGGTTTAAGTTCGCTTTTGCGTCCGCGGCTTTTGTCTTCAACTTGAGAAAAATGAGAAAGGGGAAGGCTGATTTTGTTTGTTAATGATCCCCGCAGGAGCTGCATGTGAATTAACCCGAGACGACAGGCATGCGATAGTATATGAGCATGAGCTGTATTGACGGTGTATATAACAGTAGGCTACTTCTTGTAACTGGCTGACTTCTTCCCGGTCTCATCTCGGTCCGTACGTTTCAGTCGTGTATTCAGTTGTATATCCCTGGCAGTTGCTTTTATATCGATGCCATTCTTCGTTGAAAATGCTCATCAATTCCATTTCACCAACTCTGGAGTCCGATATATTTTCACCAATGTGAACGTTTTACGCGCACCCGTAATTTAAGACTTGAAAACCAATTTTTGTTGTCCGGTTGGAATCAATTATTATCATTTGCTTTGATCAGTTCTTCATTTTATTTGAATTTAGAGTGTCGTCATGGAATTTGTTATTATCAGTTTTCTGTTTCGCAAAGATTTTAGCTCTACTCGTGCTCGTCGTTTTAATGTTATACGTATACAGCGCTTTGAGATACTTCAATATGAAAGGCGCTTTATAAAATATTATTATGTCAATAGGTGAGTAACTCACCTGCGCACGGAAGGAAGGATGTTCTGTTCTAAACGTTCATCATCGTCGCACCTCCTGGCTTTGACACTCCTCGTCTCATCAGAGCATCACCATGTTACTGTATGTTTTTTTTCGGTAAAGTCACGTAGAAATAAGAAAAAAATAAAATTACATAATAGCATACGACGTTTCGATTGCAACACAAGCAATCATCATCAGGTAGAGGAAACACATAACCGCAGATATATATACAGACCCTAAGTAGAGGGAATTAACACAGATACACCAGGGGATACTTAGGGTCTGTATATATATCTGCGGCTATGTGTTTCCTCTACCTGATGATGACTGCTTGTGTTGCAATCGAAACGTCGTATGCTATTATGTAATTTTATTTTTTTCTTATTTCTACGTGACTTTACCGAAAAAAAACAAAGAGTAATTCCTGCAGTCGCGAAAGCGCCAAATCGAGTTTCTTCACCGTGCAAGCCACGGTAGTGCGATTGTGGCTGAACGACTTGGGGAAAAGATCTAATTGCGATTTTTCTGACATATTGCGATTTGATTTGCGATTACATTTTTTTTAAGTCAAGCATCAGTTCAAAATTCACTGTGTAATAATAAAATGTGATGGAGCATTACCACGCGATACCATCAAAATATGAACCGCTCTATATATTCTAATGCAAGGATGAGAACTTTAAAGATATGAATTGCTTCCAACATGTATTTATTAAAATGTTTTAATTGAAATAGAACAATCAAACATAGAACAATTGTTAAGTTAAATAAATAAAGTTATAATAATAATAAAAATTCCAATAAGAAAGTAACATGACTTTTTCAAATCGCAAAAAAAATCGCAGCCTTTGCGATTTGCTAATCGCATTGTTTCAAATTGCGATATCGATTTGAAATCGATTAATCGTTCAGCCCTATCGTAAACCACTGCAGCCTGCGCTCCTTCAATGGAGGAGAAGGAGGAGGGATAGTAAAAAAAACGACGCGAACTCTCAACTCACAAAGCCCTCTCGTCGTGGCTCGCAGTGTATCTCGACATTGGCATCGAGCTCCTGAACCGTTTTCGCCGCTGACGTACGCGGAGGTAGAACAGAATCATTTCAAGGATGATTGGTGCTATAGCCACCGTGCTGCAAGGTGACCCAGAGACGGCAGTGTTGAGTTTAACGCCCCTCGTTGGGATTTCTCCGGGGGTTACTCCAGCGTTCTCTTTCTCCCCGGTTAAGTACGGTCGGCTTTGTACGGCGCAAAAGAAGTTCAACGTACCACCGATATTCATGATACGTGCATACAAGTCAAACACTCACGGATGGCGTTGGCCGAATATCCCCAGCACAGGAGCCCTCCTGAATAAGAGTCTTAGAAAATCAGCGAGGCTTAATAAAGAATTAGAGATTCAGTGAGGATTTCCCGAGTCAATAATTGGGATAATTATTATTAATACTTAACGTGAGATAATCACTGTTTTCTTAGCTTAAACACGTGACTTCACTGGTGCATTTTTTTTACAATGGCCACTCGGGTCACATTGGCTCGATTTTGACGTAAGGATAACCAAACGTACTTATTGTACCCATCCCACATTCTCATAGCCGTACTAATCAGTTTGAACGGATGGGATGGAGACTGGTGTTGACTGCGATGGCGAGTTGTTAACTACCTCGCCTGGTATGCAGGAGGTCGTGGGTTCGATCCCGACCCTGACGCTCGCTGTATATTTGGAGTTTGCATGTTCTCTCCCTCCCCGTGGTCGCGTCGATTTTTTTTTCCTGGTCCTCCGGTTTTTGCTCTCCACATTTAGAAACGTGCTTTTTACAGTATTTGGCTGCTATAAATTTCCACGTGATAAGCCACTTCGTTGAAGCTATCATCTGTGATCAGGTCGCTTCTGAAAAAATTATTATATTGCTCAGTGAGCTTTACCGGGTAAAATAAAAAAAAATTAGTTCATAGTTTAGACAAAAAAAAATCACTGGTATGCACACATGAATGCCTTCTTTGGACCGTGACTCTCTATAAATGTATTAGACGCGGGCGGATTCTGCTTGCGTGCGCTCTCAAAAGCCACAGAAGCAGGATCATCACGAGCGTCAAATAAATATTCGGCACCGTTCGTCACAGCTACGAAAAATTTCATCGTAATCAACACTCTTCCTCGTATCCATAAAAAAATATATATATACGCCTGTAAAATAACCTAATCGAAAATGCTAAATTGAAGTACAGGGACTCTTCTACCTGTGAACATTCGACTTACGAACTTTCAGAGATACGAACAAACCTGTCCGTATGTACAGTTGCCTGGTCGGTCGGAGAGTCGTAAGTTCAACCGCCGCGCAATACATGGAAGTGGTGGCATCTACACTTGCAGAACGTGAAGAACCAGTGGCATCTACATCTACAGAACGTGAAGAACCAGTGGCATCTACATCTACAGAACGTGAAGAACCAGTGGCATCTACATCTACAGAACGTGAACAACCAGTGGCATCTACATCTACAGAACGTGAAGAACCAGTGGCATCTACATCTACAGAACGTGAAGAACCAGTGACATCTACATCTGCAGAACGTGAAGAACCAGTGGCATCTACATCTGCAGAACATGAAGAACCAGTGGCATCTACATCTGCAGAACGTGAAGAACCAGTGGCATCTACATCTCCAGAACGTGAAGAACCAGCGGCATCTACATCTACAGAACGTGAAGAACCAGTGGCATCTACATCTACAGGAGATTATACAACTTTTAAAGCCATTCCCCGTTGTTTCGTGTACATGCCGTACAACATGTTTGGAATCGACGGGAGTAAAGTTGGACTTATGAACAAATCGACTTATAAACATTCCTCTGGAAACTAACCTCGTTCGTAAGTAGAGCAGTCCCTGTACGTCCCTTTTGGTAACCAGATTGTCTTCAGTTTAATCAGCGCTGGTTTGCTTAAATTTATATGTAAACCGTTGAAAAGGAATTCGCATCGGTAATATGCCAGTGTATACGAAAAAAAACCCCGTTGCTGTTCATTATTTTCATTTTATTATGTTCACATTTCAATGTCATTGTGAATTTGGACCAGGACAGAAAGTTTGCTCACGCTTGCTTGACGTTATTAAAAACAATCTTCATTCGACACAGGGTGGTGGTGGTGGTGGTGGGGGGTGTGAATGACACCACATTTGTGCAACTTTGAATCCGCGCGCGCGTGCAGCGTGAAGAAGCGGCCACTCCTTTACCTCCACGTTCCCCGGGGGGCACTTTTTGTGTTTCGTCCAACATCGCGTTCGAGCCGGAAGCCAGTTGGTGACCGAGGAGGAGGAGGAGGATGGGGTATGATCGTTGAAGAGTCGTCGTGCGGTTTGATGTAGAAGGCCTCGTTAAAGAGTCCCTCCCGGCTTGATGTACAAGGCTCTCGAGGCTGTGCATATCGGTGGGTTTCCCTAAATGCTCCCCAGCTCTTCCAGATTGCAGAGAGTATCCGTCTTTTAATGCTCGTCGGTTAATTGTCTGTGTGCTTAAAACGAAACAACAACAACAACGCAAAACCACCACAATTATTTAAAAAAAAATAATTATGGAACACGCCATTGAACATGCCAAAATAGCTCTTCAAGTGGATTGTGTTTTTTTTTTATTTCAATTCTTTTTTTAAACTATATATATTTCACCCGTAAGTGAGAAGGATGAGGAAGAGGAATTACTTGCTCAGACGTTTTGAACATACACAAGGAAGCTTGCGTTACAGCTGTAATTATTCACTCCGTCCTCGGGGGTTTTCTCATGGATCTGGAAGAGCTGCACACACATTGTATGCGAACGCTCGTTGCTGTTTAAGTGGTTCAAATAAAGGCCTTCCTTTCTACACACAAGGGTTGGAGGTATATATTTTGTTCCAATGAGGTGGCATCGTTTTGTTCACACGAATGTTTAGAAACGACCTACTCTCACGAGGACACATATAACTTTTTATTTTTTATTTTACCAGGTAGGGCCCACTGAGCTACATAGATTTGTTTTCTTCAGAAGCGACATGGCCACAAATAATAGTTCAACGATGTGGCCTATCATGTGGACATTTATAGAGGCCAAATGCTCCAAGTGCGTGTCCACTATAAATGTGGAGGGAAAAACCGGAGGACCCGGAGGAAAATCCACGCGACCACAGAGAGAGAGAGAGACGCAAACTCCAAATATACAGGCGTCAGAGGCGGGATTGAACCCACGACCTCCTGTATACCAGGCGAGATATTTCACATCTCACCACCGTGGCTAGAAGGGAGGTAACGTATTCCTTATTATGTGTTGTGGCATCATTGGCACTGCCAGTGACGAATGACCTCTTGACGTTGAATACCTAGAGACCCTGCAGCCAGAAGTTCTACCTCCACCATTATGATGTTCTCAAACGAAAGGAAACAACTTATTTTCGGGAAATGCGAAAACATTGATATTCTACGCATGTGGTCAATGACTATATATATATTTTTAAACCAATTTCATGGTTTCGCGAATAATAAACAGTTGCCGAAATCATCCGGCCATGCATTATTCACGAGTATTTTTTATTATCATGTAGTGCCTGTGCACAATTCAAATGCGGCCGTAAAACAACAACAAAAAAGTGACGTCACGCATAATGACGAGGACCGTGACCAGTTGCGAGAACACGAACGAGATTCATAAATATTTTATCATGTCTTGTACGAAAGACATCGTTCCATATTCACCATCTATACACACACACATATATAGAAACTTCATCACGATGCCATGTTTGGCAGATAGCCCCGCAGTTGTCCACTGCTCATGTTGTCATTTGTTTCCACGTTCCTCTGCCTTGTGCCGATGTGCTCAAGGAGTGAACCATCTTTGTGGCACCAACCTCTTGTGACGCCGTCGCCACCAAGCCGTTCTCTGCGAGGTCTTCCTCTCTTTCCGGTTCCTTACATTTTTTTCCCAAACATCACACTCTTCATTTTCCTGTTGTCCATTCTACGTGTGCGTCCACATAGTGCCAGTTTCCATCACTTCCTCCATCATCAGGTCTTCTTCTACTACGTGCAACATTTGTTTTTTTCTGACTTCTACGTTGGTTGCTCTTTTGGGCCCAGTTTAGATCCGACCCCGACACCTGTGTGTTGGGAGTTTGCGTGTCTCTTTCCCCGTGGTCGCGTGGATTTTTCTCCACGTCCTCCGGTGTTTCCCTCCACATTTATAATGATCAGCATCACGCGTTTCGAGTATTTGGCTGCAATATATTTCCACATCGTGATAAGCCACTCCGCCGAGCTTTCATTTGTGGCCAGGTCACTTCTTAAAACAAGAGCTATGAAGCTCATTGCGCCGTAACAGTTACAATAAAACAAAATAGACGCGGTATCTTTCCGTACCAATACATTGCGAAAGCCATTCTGTCAGTGAGGCTTAATTACCGTGATATTTTTTGTCCCACAGCTCCCACCCCAGTGAGGGTTGTCTGGCCAAACAGCCCAAGGCCCGATGGTGTTGACAATGACCTCTGTATGACCTATTCGGCATAACTCATCACTTTTTGAACAATGAAATAATGTACGGGTAGTCCCCGACTTACGATGGTCCGACTTACGATATTTCGATCTTACGATGGCGATATGACAAAATTGTAAAAAAATTTTTTTTTATTTCGCGCGGCAGGCAAACGCAGCAGCGTACGAGGTACGATACTGTAACTTTATCATCGCCATCCTCCTCTTCCGACAACTAAGTTAATGTAGCCATCAACAACCTAAGATCGTTCAAGTATGCAGACGACGGACAGAATCTTGGTGAGTACAGTAGACTATGATACGTTACGATACGTTCAATGCATGTATGATACATAGCTTTAGCGATTTCATTTTAGGGTTACCACGATACGATACATAAGTTCAATGCATGTTACAAATTTTATAACAGATAGGATTGTTTCCTGAAACAAAAACTTTCTATTAAATTGCAATTCATATAGGTAGGCTAAGAATTTACCTTGTTTTTAATTTAAATTTCACTGTGCAATACAGTATTGTAATTAATAAATACATACAGTATATAGTTTATACTCAGATGCAAGTCTGAAATAATCATCATCACATTGTTCTTTTCGAGTAAACCAAAGCATCTTCTCAGCCTGCAGTACCCGACTGAGCCTTGTCTCGGCAATGTCCTTGTGCTGGAGGACGTCAGATAAGAGGATGTTTATCGGTTTATCCTGGAAATAGTTGTAAGCCCTTGAGCACACCCTAAGTCGTATTTACGTGCCACTTCGTGTGACGTTCGCCTTGTTAATTGCCTTGGCGAGTGGGTTGTTACCAACCCCTGTTTTTTATGATGTGAACTTGCATCACAAACAGTGGCGATGTAAAACTACATTATCAGTGGCGTAGTAACTACATTATCAGTGGTGTAGTAAACTACATTATCAGTGGTGTAGTAAACTACATTACCAGTGGCGTAGTAAACTACATTATCAGTGGTGTAGTGACTACATTATCAGTAGCGTAGTAAACTACATTATCAGTGGCGTAATAACTACATTATCAGTGTTGTAGTAACTACATTATTAGTGGCGTAGGAACTATATTATCAGTGACGTAGTAACTACATTATCAGTGGCGTGGTAACTACATTATCAGTGGTGTAGTGACTACATTATCAGTGGCGTAGTAAACTACATTATCAGTGGTGTAGTAAACTACATTATCAGTGGCGTAGTAAACTACATTATCAGTGGCGTAGTAAACTACATTAACAGTGGCGTAGTAAACTACATTAACAGTGGCGTAGTAAACTACATTACCAGTGGTGTAGTAAACTACATTAACAGTGGTGTAGTGACTACATTATCAGTGGCGTAGTAAACTACATTATCAGTGGTGTAGTAAACTACATTATCAGTGGCGTAGTAAACTACATTATCAGTGGCGTAGTAAACTACATTATCAGTGGCGTAGTAAACTACATTAACAGTGGCGTAGTAAACTACATTACCAGTGGTGTAGTAAACTACATTAACAGTGGTGTAGTAAACTACATTATCAGTGGCGTAGTAAACTACATTATCAGTGGCGTAGTAAACTACATTATCAGTGGCGTAGTAAACTACATTATCAGTGGCGTAGTAAACTACATTATCAGTGGCGTAGTAAACTACATTATCAGTGGTGTAGTAAACTACATTATCAGTGGTGTAGTAAACTACATTATCAGTGGCGTAGTAAACTACATTATCAGTGGCGTAGTAAACTACATTATCAGTGGCGTAGTAAACTACATTATCAGTGGTGTAGTAAACTACATTATCAGTGGTGTAGTAACTACATTATCAGTGGCGTAGTAAACTACATTATCAGTGGCGTAGTAAACTACATTATCAGTGGCGTAGTAAACTACATTATAAGCTCAGAGGGGGTGCGGCAATCGGTCAAGTGGGGTCCCCAATATTTGATTTGTCTCGCTCAGTCGCACCAAGGCTATTCTAAATCCGCGGGTCCTCTTTCCCGAATCACGTCGTCATTACGCTCACGGTCTCGAACATTTAACGCTGTAGGGGGCGCTCCATCTTCACGGAATGCGGCCCACTCCAGCTCTACAGTAGTAGTACCTCTTTTGCACAAAAACCCCCCCATTAAAACCGCGTTTTAAATACGTTATAGTTGTTTTTTTTTACTTTTGTTGAAAGCAAATCTCGTGGTTATCAAAGGGGGACCCAAATCGTAGCCTTGGTCACCAGGAGGGTGGGGGCAAGGCACTGTACCCCACGCAAGCTACGCTACTGCATTATCGACAAGACAATCCCTTTTATATGTTTAGTCAATATGGGAAGGAATCTGGTATCTGACGTCTCTCCTGTGTTGGCTGACTCGGTAGCACCAACGCTCTTCGAGAATGACGACGCGACCCGTGACGGAGCTTTTTGTAGCGTCACAATACCTCGCCGATCTCGTCGAGGAGCATAAAGCATCACCACCACGTGGCAGACACTCTGGGGTCATCCTCGCAGCAGCCGCGGCTTTTGGCTAAGCCGTCGGACAAAGGCGCAGGTGACCGCGGCGCTTTCGGATGCGCTTCTGCGGCCGTCTGGAACGCTCTTCCTTGCGACATTAGCAAGCCGCTGGAGCTTTGCACTTTGAAATCATCTCGATTGGAAACTTTTTTGAGAACTGCTTTTGGTACTCTTTGGTTCTATTGGGTAAAGTCACGTAGGTAAAAAAGTAAAATAACAAAAATCACGACGTTTCGGCCACAACACAAGCGGCCTTCATCTTTTACCTACGTGACTTTACCCAATAGAACCAAAGAGTATGGATCCTTGCAGTCACGAAAGCTTTAAATCTAGAACTGCTGTTGGTGTTTAGTTTGTTTTCCCTTCCCCCGCACCTCCGATTAGCACGGTTGACCTACGTACGGCGCGAAAGAAGTTCAACGTACTACATACAGTTTAACACGTAGGCTTTCGCGACCAATATTATTCATAATAAAAAAAAACCCAAAACCTTTATTATGAGTACTACATACAGATGAGCATGAAGGCGGCGGTACTCATATCCTGTTCATAGCCCTGAGCCTGGCGGTGAGAATTCCACATTCCTATGTCGGGAGGGGGGGGGGGTCTATTCATAGTACAACCACTTTTGACTTCCCCCCACAAACGTCCACTTATTTGTATCGACCCCGAACGCGTGATGGGCTGAGTCAACGCCCCATCTATGAACCGACCTCTGCAGCCTTTCCGATGTACGCTGCCGCTGACCGACCTGGGCATGGACAATCAATATTTGAACCAGCCTTGATCGACTCCACCGATGGACGAAGGTCCTTCCCGTGCCGTGCCATCTTAGAAGTCTCACAGTGC